CACAGCTAGGAGATATCCAGGATGCACGAAAACGCTGGCAACAGAAGCGAGTAAGACAGAGGAAGGCAATGGGGCGGCTCCAAAGGCGAAGGAGAAGGCATTAGGAAGCCACGTCTTGGCTGCATAATAAAAGGGAAGGTGTGGGAGGTGCTGGTGGCCGGTTCGTGTTGAGGATGGAGTTTCTGTGGACTGTGTTTGTTTGCCTTGGACACTGACGCAGGTCTGTGAATAATAAAAGGGGGTTGGTTTATTCCTGCGGTTCCAGCTTGCTTGTTGGAAGAGGGGTTTCTTCTTGTGAGCTCAACAAGGACTCAGGTGGGCTGGGACAGAACAGCAACGTTGGTTGCTGCCGTTTTGAAATAGCACAAAAACTAATAGAAGGCCTGAAAAGTTGAACACGGTTACATGGACAATAACAAGGTCCTTCCCAAACAGGAGAAAATTGAGAATCCTGGCCTCTCCCCATAGAAATGACATCTCCAACTTGGCCTGCTGTTATCTTTATTCACCCCCGTGCCAAGTGACACCCACAGCTGCTGAACACTGCTAGCAGTGGATCATTTTGATTCTCTTCAGGATCTGGTTTGCTTGAACTGCTAATATTTATTCAAGACTCCTGTGTGTTAAAAGCAAAGAAATGGAGAAGTGATTCGTTTGTTTATCAGCTCTATTAAACCAGGCTAGATGTCTTGGGTTAGAAAGCTACAAATTTGGTCTTTTCAGATTCGGGCCAAGATCTAGCAGTTGCATGTGGAAAGATTCTATCTTTGCTTTTTAGGTTCCTTACTGGGCCTCTGAATCTGAATGACCCAGAAGCAAAATGCAGATTCCCCAAAATATTCGTGAATACAGACGATGCTTACGAAGAGCTTCATTTAATTGTGTATAAGGTAACCGCCTTAATTGTGTCAGATGTAGTGACCCTCTAATTTGGATGGAAAGGGGCTGAGTCCCCAACCCCCAGTCCGTTGACCAGTACTGGGCCATGGTATGCCAGCAACTGGTCTGCACAAACAAGCAGAGCCTCATCTTCGGGATGCAGGCAACACACAAAACCACGCACCCTCCGGTCTGCGGAAAAACCTCTCTCCATGTAACCGGTCCCTGGTGCCCAAAAGGTTGGGGATCTCTGCCCTAAACCTCTGTTTCTCAGCTTTACAACTCACAAGATACACGGACTTCAACTTCCAGAATTGAATGGCTGGGGAATTCTGGGAGTTGAAGTCCACAGGTCTTAAAGTTGTCAAGGTTGGATACCTTTGCCTTTTAGATGAATTCTCCTGAGATTAGGATCCTACCCTTCTTGGGTTACAACTCCCATAATTTCCATCCCTTGGCCATGCTAGCTGGGTTTGATGGTAGCTGGAGCCCAATTTTTGGGGGGAGGGGGGGTACCAGGCCTTCCCTTTCCACAATCTAAGTTATCCTTTCATCTCAAGAGAACAAACCTCAAAGCAGAAGCCTTTGTTAATGCTCGCTTGGGCCAACATTCTTCACTTAGCCGTAGAGCCAGACTGTAGAAATGAGATAGCTGAAAAACGGCTGGTATGATAAAATCTTTTGTCCCTTCCAGGCAATGAGCGCAGCTGTCTGCTTTATGATTGATGGTGAGTATCAAATAATAATTGTTGAAATCACTGTTCCTCTCTCGGTTCCCCAAATCCCATCCTTTGAACATTCTCCGCGGGCGTTTGGATATGAGCTACGATAGTCCGCCCTCTGTAAGATTTCCAGAATTTGGTCATGATAGAATTGTTTGAACTATTTCCTGTTACATACAAAAGCGAAAATACCATTTTTTTTGTCTTGCCCAAGAGCCACAATTGGCCAGCGAGTCATCAAAAAAAATAAAACCTCAGCAATGAAGTAAAGATTTGTCTAAATTGGGGCAGGCTGTGGGTTCTGGAGCTGTTTTCCTATTTCTTTGAACTCAGCAATGTAGATTCTGTAGCATAAATCTTAAAACAGCAATACCAAAAAATGTTGAGGGAAAAATTCCACCCCAGAATAAATCAATTCAACCCGTAGCAGGGCCTGGCCCGCCCTCTACTATATAGGCCAGTTTGGCATGGTGGTTAAGGTGCTGGCCTAGAAAGCAGATGTCTGTGAGTTCTAGTTCCACCTTAAGCATGCAAGCCAGCTGGGTGATTTTCGGCCAATCACCAGGAGACGGTGAGTTCTAGCACCGCCTTAGGTATGAAAGCCAACTGGGTGATTTTGGGTCAATCACCAGGAGACGGTGAGTTCTAGCACCACCATAGGTATGAAAGCCAACTGGGTGATTTTGGGCCAATCACCAGGAGACGGTGAGTTCTAGCACCGCCATAGGTATGAAAGCCAACTGAGTGACTTTGGGCTAGTCACCAGGAAATGGAGAGTTCTAGTTTCACCATAACCATGACATCCAGCTGGGTAACTTCAGGGCAATCCCTCCCTCTCTCAACCCAACTGACCTCACAGGGCTGTTGTTATGGGGAAATTAAGAGAAGGAAGGACAGTCAAGTATCTTCATTGCCTTGGGTTACTGATAAAAATAACAAAGGCGAGATAAAAATCTAACCCATAAATAAATCTCATCTCTTCCCACATTGTGGCTTTGAGACTCTATTACCCTCTCCCCGAACAATTGACTGCCATATTACAATTGTTCATCCTCCAATTACCTTCAAGCAGGTGTATTTGCTCACTAATTTGGGAGCAGGGTTATTGATTGATTTATTTATTTTTTAAGAAATGCTCTGCCTTTTCTGGAAATACTGAGAATCTGACTAGTGCCCTTCAGATTCCTTACCTTTGGCAGATAATTTGGGATGCCCACGTCTCGGCTCCTTGGCATTTATGCAAACCGGTCCCTTGTGTGTCTGGGCCTTGCAGATGTCACCATAAGGCCTTGACCTTCCCTCTGAGCCACGTCGATTGAGATGGAACAATTCTCCTCTTTTTTTCCTCCCCCCCCCATCCCCCAACACTTTCCCAGCCTCTGTGCAACCTACGCTGGATTTCTGCCGCCGACTGGATAGCCTCGTGGGGCCTCAGCTTACCGTATTAGCTTCGGATATCTGTGAACAATACAACCTCAAGAAAAGGACGTCGGGGTCAGTTCCTTTTTCAAAAAAACAAATTGGGGGGGCGGGGATAGGGAACGGCACCTTCTTAATAAGGGACAGGTATTTAAGAGCTGCAGAAATGTCCTTAACAGCGGGGTCCGTTTCAGTTGGCCAAGCAGGTGATGGTTAAAGAGGAGCAGGATCTACGTTCAAGGGGTCTTTCCCACTTTTCAGTCCTCCCCATTCTCCGGAGTAACGGGTAGCAATCCCTCTCTGATCCCCACCCCAGTGGAGGACAGATAAGCCACGGATTCCCCCAGTGGGGATGGTTTGCAGGTTTGGGTTGAAGTTGACCCTGACCAACAACCTTGTTGCCCGAGGGAGCAGAGGCCAGCACAGGTGATGCATCGTGCAAAGCCAGAAAATGGAGATACCATCTTGGCTGACTCATCTGCTTGTAGCTTATTCACCAAACTACAGTTAAGCAAACCGAGGTTCAGCACTCTTCCCATCTCAGGTTGATAGATAAACAAAATACTAGGACAGGGGTCCTCAAACAGGGCCACTTTAAGACTTCTGGACTTCAACTCCCAGAATTCCCCAGCCAGGACCCCTGTGCTAGGAGAACCCGCTCTGAAATATATCTTCATCCTGTTTGCGGAAAGAGTGGCGATGCCTCCTTTGATCTCTCCGTTCATCTCTTTCTTAGGTCCGAGAAGGACCCTCAGTTTAAATTCATCTACTTCAATCACATGAATCTGGCTGAGAAAAGTACCATCCATATGAGAACGTCAAATATCTCATTCCCTTCCGTCCATCCTGACTTGATGAAGATCCTTGGTGATATCAACAACGATTTTACGAGGTGATCTACCCTCTCCCATCTCCGTTGACTATTTGTCCCTCGCCTTATCATTTCAGAGGCAGGATGAATAATACTACTTCCTTTTTTTTTTGACCTGTTAAAAATACCCATTTGAACATGATTTATCTTAAGACCTTTTTTTTTTTACAATGCCAAAGATGCTTTTTCAAAAGGCAATTGGCCTTTCTTTCTTTCTTTTTCCTTGAAGACATTTTCTCGTCCAAGAAGCTTCTTCAGTTCAGAACTTAAAAAGTTTCTTGAATGAGAAGCCAAGTGTCTTCAAGGTACTTTTTTGAAAAAGTATCTTTGGGACAATCCACAACCCTGGATGGCTGAGAATCTCCATAGACACCTCTGTTAAATGCAGTTGGCATTTCCAACAGTGTCGGTGGGCATCAGAGACTTTTCCAGAAAATAAAATCGGAGTCTGTCAGTTGGTTAGGCTGCTGTGCCACACGGATCATGGCAATTATTTTTTGTGTGCCCGAAATGTTGAAAACTGCAGTTTTCATCCCCAATTCTGGGACAAAGCAAAAATGAAAGCTTGCTTCTTCCGAGATATTTAAGGTTTGATGTGTTTATGACTGTCTGACGATCTATCTTGAACGAGCTGAGTGTAGTATTTGGTTGAAGACCACAAAGAAGTCTGAGATATAAACTAGATTGGGAAGTTAACACACACACACACAGAAAGAGAGAGAGAGAGAGGGGGGGGGGAAGGGAAGAGTAAACCACTTAGTTGCTAAGAAATTGCTGTGGATATTTTTGTTTAATCCTCAATCGATTTGCTGATTTTTTTTTTCAGTGTCTCCCACCCCTCACCTCCAAATTTATTTCTGGGTTTTTTATATTTCTGAAAATCTGATCTCCAAACTTTGTTCCCTCGTGCCAACCCTGAGCTACCAATATTTTCTTTTCTTTTTTTCTTTTTTTGGGAATCTGATCTCCTCTTTGTTTAAAGGGTGGACGATGATGAAGAAATCATTGTGAAGGCTATGAGCGACTACTGGATTGTCGGCAAGAAGTCTGATCAGCGGGAACTGTACGTTATTTTGAGTCAGAAGAACGCCAACCTAATTGAAGTGAACGGTAAGGAACTCTTAAAACTCTTAAAAAATATATCAATCATCTGTCCGTTCAGCATCATTTTCAGTCTAGAACCACCGTTGTCAAGCACGAGAGAAGAGCAGTGAAGAGGTTGGTGTAAAATCTGAGGCAGAAGAAACAGAAGGAAATGCAGATATGAGTGAGGCAGACCTAGAATTTGCTTTTGATTCAGTTATGTGTAGTATAACAGAATAACAAAGTTGGAAGGGACCATGGAGGTCTTCTAGTCCAACCCCCTACTCAAACAGGAAACCCTATACCATTGCAGACGAATGGTTGATCAATCTCTTCATGAAAACCTCCAATGATGGAGCACCCACAACTTCTGGAAGCAAGAAATTCTACTGATTAATTATTCTAACTGTCAGGAAGTTTCTCCTTAGTTCCAGGTTGCTTCTCTCCTTGATCAGTTTCCATCCATTGCTTCTTGTCCTGCTCTCAGGTGTTTTGGAAAATAGGTTGACCTCTCTTCTTCCGTGCTCTTAAGACCTGAGATCCCTAAGGCATTACTTCCACCAGATGTGTGGAGGCAATGATATCCCTCCTAGCTTGGAATTGTGGGAACTGTAGTACGTCTCAATCAAGGAGGTGAATTCCAGAGAGGCTGTGCCAAAGACGTTTAGTAGACTTGATGACTGATATTCATGGATCATCTTTTGTATGTGAAGCTGAACTTTTCTGAGCAGGCGCAAAGTTCTGTAGTTGCCTAGACCAGTGTTTCTCAACCTTGGTGACCTGAAAATGCGTGGACTTCAATTCCCAGAATTCCTCAGCCACATGGGCTGAATTCTGGGAGCTGAAGCCCACATTTTCAGTCCTTTCAACAGTTCCAAGAAGGCTTCACACCCATTTGCACTATTCAGGTGACCTTGAGAACACAGATAAACCTCCAAGTGGCCTCAACGGCTCTCTAGAAAAAGGCAAATGACCAGCTGTCTGCAAGGAGTATAAAACCTTCCATTCCCCCACCATCCAATCAGAGCTGAAGGAGCTTCTTGGATGAGAAGCGAAACGTCTTCAAAGAAAAACAAGAACGTCCAGTTGCCTCGTGAAAAAAGCATGTTTCGGACAACTATGACCTGGATGACTGAGAATCTCTATAGACAGACAGTTCTGAGGCTTTTTGTAGGCTGTCCCTCAAAAATAAATGAATAAATAAAATTTTAAAAAATGGCTCGGAACCGTAGAAATAATGCAGAAATAGGCAGCCTTCAGGAAATCTACTAAAGATAACGTTTATGTCTTACTGATGGTAACTTTTCAACACAGTGTGCTTCTTTCTTTTAAGCTGTAAAACTCAATTCTTTCTCCCTTGCAGAAGAAGTAAAGAAACTTTGTGCAACCCAGTTCAACAATATTTTCTTCTTGGATTGATCCGCCACGGCTCTCATCTCTTTGAAGAGAGCATCAAGACCCCTAAAAGGCATAACTTGTTTACTGGGACCAGTTCATTGAGTCACATTACTGACTGGCCTAACGACAATAGTAAAGCAAATACTTGCTTTGTAAGAATCCACTTTCTACAAAAATCATGTCCTCGTCGGCCGTACCCTCTTTTTAGATTTTAAAATATTTATGTTCAGATGGATTAAAATTGCTCAGAATGAAACCTGTGTCCTTCCTTCCTTGTCTCTGTCTGTCATTGTGTAACTTATTTTACTGGAATAATAAAAATATTGCCACTTTTAATAAACTTTCTTCCTCTTTCGCTTCTCTGTCACAAAATAAGCATGTTCTATAAGGCTGCTGTCTGCCGTGTGATGTTTTGATGGCCTGGTAATATAGGCAGTCCTCAACTTAATGACCACAATTGAGCCCATTTCTGCTGCTAAGTAAAACATTTGTTAAGGGAGTTTTGTCCCATGTTACGACTTTTATTGCCACCGTTGTTAAAGTGAATCACTACAGTTGTTAAGTTAGTAACACAATTACTAAGAGAATCTGGCTTCCCCCATTGACTTGGTTTGTCAGAAGGTCACAAAAAGGACCCTTTTGGACACCATCATAAATATGAGCCAGTTGACAAGTGTGTCCAAATTTTGATCATGTGACCATGGGGTTGCTGCAGTGGTTGTTAGTGAGAGAAATGACCATAAGTCATTTTTTTTAGTGCCGTTGTAACTCTGATCACTAAGTGAACTTACGACAAAGTGACCTTATACCTTTTTCACCCTTAACGACCGCATGGCAGCATCCCCATGGTCCTGTGATCAGAATTCAGAGGCTTGGAAATTGGCATGCACTTACGATGGTTTCACGTCCCGGGGTCACGTGATCCCATTTTGTGATCTTCTGACCAGCAAAATTAACGGGGAAGACAGATTCACTTTAACAACCGCGTTACTAACTTCACAGCTGCAGGGATTCACGTAACAATTGTAGCAAGAAAGGTAAAACGGAGCAAAATTCACTTTTAACACCTGTCCAGCTCGGCAAGAGAAATTTTGGGCTCAGTTGTGGTCGTAAGTGGAGGACTACCTGGTGGCTGTGCAGCTCTTCTCACTTTTTCTTCTTTTTCCCTGCTACGGCTGCCTTGGTACCGGGCACACTCTGAAGCGAAGTAGGAGATTCTTCCTTCGGAGGAGATTGGAGCTGGCTCAGACTTTCCTCCATTTCTCGATTCAAACTCTCCTCTAGTTCTAAGGCTGCTTTTTCCGCTGCCGCTTCTTCTAATTTTCGGGCCTCCTCAGCCTCCTTCATAGCCTGGAGCCTGTCAACAAAAACAGGAGTCTTCAAACCCTAAACTGCAAGGAGGATTAACTTTGATCTTGAACTTACTGCCCAGTTCTGACCCAAAATCACTGTTTTCCAAATTGGAGGATCTACAGCAGTGTTTCCCAACTTCAGCCATCTTAAGATGGGTGGACTTCAACTCCCAGAATTCCCAGGCTGGGGAATTCTGGGAGTTGAAGTCCACATCCCTTAAAGTTGCCTGAGGTTGGGAAACACTGATCTACAGCAATGCTTCTCCACCTTGGCAACTTTGAAGGTTCTGGACAGCCAATTCATGGCTGGCTGGGGAATTCTGGGAAGCTGTAGGAAATACTAGGATTTGTTCAACCAGCATTGCATTCAGTGAGCAGCCAAAAATCAGAGTTACTTTCAGTTAGCTGAACTGAGGCCAAACAACCACATCATGGTTTAGATCACGGCTCCAAACTAGCTGGTGCGAAAGGAATGCATCCTTGTGCTACAGCTTTGATCCAAATCAACCCATCTTGGAGCATGGACGGTTGACCGTATGGAGAAACCTTCAGTTTGCAGTCACCATCGTGGCTACTTTCAGAGCCCAACGCACCATATTCGGTGTAAACAAACTACCATGGCTTACTTGGCCTCTTCTTCCTCCTCTTGTTTCTTCCGCAAGATTGAGAGTTCGGCTTCTCGGGCTCTGTTGTCTTCGATGGTTTCGTTCACCAACTGCAAATTCTTGTAGTTGGCAAAAAACTTTTTGACAAAAAAAATGTACATCTGACTCATCCAGAGGTTGAGCTTATCTTTTTCCTCATTTTTCTCTTTTTCGAGCTTTTCTGGAAAAGAAAAAAAAACAAACACATGAGTCTATATAAAACCACATGGCAAAACATGTAGAAGTCAAGATTTTGCCAAAAACTCTCCAGAAAAGAGATCCAACTAGCCTAGAAATTTTTTCTTTCTTTCTTTTCAACCCTGCGGTTTTCTTGGCAAGGTTTTTCGGAAAGGGTTTGTCATTGCCTCCTTCCTAGGGCTGAGAGAAATGGGCTGGCCCAAAGTCACCCGGCTAACTTTGTGGCTAAGGCAGGACTAGAACTCACAGATTCTTGGTCACCCAGTTAGATTTCATGGCTGTGGGACTAGAACTTACAGACTCCAAGTCACGCAGCTTGTTTTCATGCCTAAGGTGGGATTAGAACTCAGGGCCACCCAGTTTCTACCCTGATGCCTTCACCACTACACCAAACTGCCTCTCTAGAGCTAATCTAGCAGGCTGCTGACACCTAGGGAAAGCTGGACTACGTGACTTTCCCGATTCTTGCTCTATATTTTTCCGATAAGGCCTCCCTCTGCCTTGCCTGGGTACTAATTTGGTAATCATTTATGGGTACTAAATGTCAATTTGGAGTCCGTTTGGAGGCTATTTTCACCAAAGCACTGGCACTACACAATCCTACCCCCCCTTCCCATAAACACACACATGCACACAGCAAAGTTTAACAATACAAATTGCAGTACCAATTTAAATGCCTCCGGATCGATCAAATGATTTTGAAAAGAATTCACTCACACCCCCCCCCCGCAAAAAAATGACCAGGAAAAATTGAATTGAAATGAATAAGTCTCAAACACCGAAATGAATGGATGCTCTGATCTACACTGCCTTTTAGTGATGTCCCCCGCAGAGCTCTGGAAGAGCAGCTCATAATGTCCTCTGATACTCTTTTACTGCCCTCCTGTGAGAACATTGGTGCTTGCAGAAATACCCACTTATCCAGTGCATATTCCCAACTGTCTAAATCGCACAAACCTGGAATGTCCATTTGAAACGGGGGAATTTGGGAACTATAGCAGAGGACAAAATTCACCGAAATCCAGAAATTTTATATATATGTTTCTCCAGAATAGACTATAAATCAGTTTCATAAGCTAATGTGAACAGATATTTACTTCCTTGATAGCTCACCCCTTAAAAAGCCAGCTGGTTAAACCTTGCATGAGTTTTGTTCCTTTGGGAACAGAATCTAAGTAAGGAATGTGCTTAGACTGTAGGAAGGAACGTAGGAAGGCAGAACAAGAAGCAACGGACGGAAACTAATCAAGCAGAGAACCAAGCTAGAACTAAGGAGAATTTTCCTGACAACGAGAACAATTAACCAGTGGAACGGATTGCCTTCCAAAGTAGTGGGTCTTTCATCACTGGAGGTTTTTAAAGAAGAGGATGGACAACCATTTGTCTGAAATGGCACAGGGTCTCCTACTTAAGTAGGGGGCTGGTCTAGACAACCTCCAAGGTCCCTTCCAACTCTCTTACTCTGTGTGTTTGGTTACTCAGTTTTGTTAAGTTCTTAAAAGCAGAATCTTCACCCCAGCCTTTGGCAACCCAACGCTATCCAAGTTAGAGGAAACCTGGTCTGCAGGAAGGATGGCAGCCAGAATTCTGCTATTGCCTTTGTTTCCAAAAACACCTTGTAAATTTCCAAAAACACCTTGTAAATCTCACACCTGCTAATTCCTTCAAGGGAATTTTATCCAGGTCCCCTAAAACCGGAAGAGGTTCAATGGTTGCCTCTTTCTCTTCCAGGATGGGAGAAAACACGACATTCACAGTTATGCCTGGAAAAGAAAACAAGAAACAGAAGTAATGAATAATCAAACAGTGCTTTGGTTTTTTTGGGGGGGGGAGATGGGGAAAGCCTCCAGTTATGTTGAGAAAATGCAGAGTTATGATTCCTTTCCCCACTAAAGAGAAGCCGATGACGATCTAGCAATTCAGACGTCCTCCAGTGGCCAGCTATAGGATTACACATTAAACCAGGATATATTTTGATTCCATCTTAGGTGGTGAATAAATCCGAGTTTCCTGTTTTGTAAGGCTGGGGGGTGTGTGTGTGTGACGGACACTCAGCTGGCACAGCACAAGGCAAACCAGGGTACTAACCCATCATAGTCAGCTGGGAAGGTCGCAAAGGGTAACGCCACGATCCCGGGATGCTGCAATCATCATAAATATATGCCAGTTGCCAAACACCCAAATTCTGATTGAGCGACAGTAAGAATACTGCAGTGGTTCTAAGGGCAAAGACCCCTTGTAAGTCTGTGCTGTTTGAATGGGTTTAAGTCAAGGACTGTTTGTAAATTGGAGGGATTCCTTGCCAGAGAGCAAAGAGGCAGTGGAGCTTGGAATGTGTAGTAGGGAGGAAAAGGGCAAGAACAGACCATCCCTACCAAATCACAGAGTATATCTATACTAGTTGCTTTAGTCTGACCAGATTCTGTCTGTCGGTAAACAGCAGCCAAGAAACTACTCTGAAGTAACTCCTTGGGTTGTTCTTGGCTCTTTGAGCCTGACATTCACCAGGACGACTTCCCTGGTGCCATTGCTCTATCTGGAACGTTGCCCCTGGAAAGAGCAAAGTCTACTTCTGTCCTCATTTATATTTCTCCGGAGAGCCGGCCAAAGTTCGTAGATTATTACAGCCTGGAGGTTTTGCACTCACTTTGAGGAGAGGCAGTTTTTTCTTTGCCGTGGGACTTTCCTTTGTGGGGTTTTTCCTCTTTCTTCCCTTCTTTGCTTTTGCCTTTCTGAAAAAAAGAAAAGGTAAAAAAAAAATGGGATAAATCGGGGAAGGATGGAAGGAAGGAAGGAAGGAAGGAAGGAAGGAAGGAAGGAAGGAAGGAAGGAAGGAAGGAAGGAAGGAAGGAAGGAAGGAAAATTAGTGGAGGGAGAGAGGAAAGAAGTTAGAACAAAGAAGGAAAGGTGAAAAAGGAAGAAAGTAAAGAGATAGGGGAAGAAGGGCAGGGGAGAGGGAGGGAAGGAAGGAAAGGAAGGAAGGAAATTTAGTGGAGGGAGAAAGGAAAGAAGTTAGAACAGAAGGAAGGGTGAAAAAGGAAGAAAGAAAAGAGATGGGGAAGAAGGGAAGGGGAGAGGGGGAAAGGAAGGAAGGAAGGAAGGAAGGAAGGAAGGAAGGAAGGAAGGAAGGAAGGAAGGAAGGAAGGAAAATTAGTGGAGGGAGAGAGGAAAGAAGTTAAAACAAAGAAGGAAGGGTGAAAAAGGAAGAAAGTAAAGAGATAGGGGAAGAAGGGAAGGGGAGAGGAGGAAAGGAAGGAAGGAAAGAAGGAAGAGTTAGCAAAATTTGGCAAGGCAGAAATGAAGATGCATCTCAGAGAAAGAAGAAATGATAGAGAAGGAAAGCTGACAGTTTCCCTCAGAATGATGTTGGGATGGGAACTGTCAGAGACCATCACAATCCTCCTCCTCCTCCTCCTCCCCCCCCTCCTCCTCCACTTCCTCCTCCTCCTCCCCCCCCTCTGCAAACCCCACTCCCTTCTAGCACTAATGATATTGCTTATTTGAGTAATGAAATGTGTCTAAGAAAATAACCAAGCTCAGAGATCAAGGACACCACAGTTCAACCTTTACAAACATTCTCTTTTGGTAAATATATTTCTCTCCTTGGATTCTGCTGGGAGTCCAGAATGTGATTATGATATCAGAACACCAAAATGAATAAATTGGGTTGGGCTAGAAGACCTCCCTTCCAATCCTATGATTATTATATGTTCTAAATACATCTGAAAGTAGGTATCAGAAGCAAGCTGACCTCCTAGAGAAGGTCCTTGTTGCCTCTTAGAAGGACAGAAAAGGAGAAGATAGAGAGAGCTTCTGGGAAAGGAAACACCAAGCATTGGAAACCAACTAAGAAGGCCCATGGGGAGAACCCACTATCAACTGACATGACAGCAGCGTTCCAATATTTGAGGAGCTGCCATAAAGAAGAGGGGGTTCACCTATTCTCTAAAGCACCTGAAGGCAGAACAAGAAGGAATGAATGGAAGATTACAAAGAGAGACCCAACTAGAACTAAGGAGACGTTTCCTCACAGTTAGAACAATCAATCAGTAGAACAGGTTGCCTTCAGAAGTTTTGAGTGCTCCATCACTGGAGGCTTTTAAGAAGAGACTGGACAGCCATTTGTGTGGAGTGGTATAGGGCAGGGGTAAGCAACCTTGGCTCTTTTATGACTCGTGAACTTCAACTCCCAGAATTCCTGCGCCAGCCATGCTGAGGGGAAAGGGAAAGGTTTCCAAGCTGAGCCATGCTGGCTCAGGAATTCTGGGAGTTGAAGTCCACGAGTCATAAAAGAGCCAAGGTTGCCTACCCCTAGTATAGGATCTCCTGTTTGAGCAGGGGGTTGGACTAGAAGACCTCCAAGGTCCCTTCCAACTCTGTTATTCTGTTATTCTCATCTTGGAGGGTTGTTCACTTCTCTTCGTTTGACTATGCCACCCATCCTGCACCTTGCCAAGGAAATGGGATGCTACCACTATGACTTCCCTTTTTATGGCCTTCAGATTTCTTGGTCTTGCCTACTTCCACGAAATGCACAATCTTGCTTGAGGAATATTTGGGGCCAACTTGGGTGGTGGTGACATCTGTGCCTTCAGTGCTGGCTTCGTCACTGCTGGTGCTTCTAGTATGAACGGACTAGAGGTCGAAAACAGAACACAGGGTGACTAGAAGAAGGAAGCAAAGGCACCTATGTTTTCCTCTCCTGTCCCCAAAATCTGGCCAGGGCCAGGCCAAACAGCACCTCTCAGCAATCATCTTGGAGAAACACACACATTTCATTAACCACCGATACAGTTTGGCATATTGTCAAAGGTTGCATTCCCACAAGGCAGTTGGCAACTGGTTTTCCACAACACACTAAAGCTGGAGTGTCCAACCTTGACAATCTTAAGACTTATGGACTTCCACTCCGAGATTTCCCCACCAGCATGGAATTCTGGGAGTTGAAGTCCACAAGCCTTAAAGTTGCCAAGGTTGGACATTCATGCACTAAACCAGGGGTCTTCAAACTTGGCCCTTTGATGACTTGTGGGCTTCAACTCCCAGAATTCCTCAGTCAGCGTGCCTGGCTGAGGAATTCTGGGAGTTGAAGTCCACAAGTCATCAAAGGGCCAAGTTTGAAGACCCCTGCACTAAACCCAACAGACAGGATCTGCTTGACACACTCAGCCATGAAAAACCTTGTCCAAGGTCACCACTACCTCAACTTAGCCTGCGGCTATTTTGTCTCTTCCTGACTTAGTTCTGTGAGGACATCCTAGAGACCTGAACTGGACTAACCTGAAGAGGAGAAGACAATTCCGGAGGCAAAGAGGCAGTTTCACTCCGTTCTGGCAGCGCATCTGGTCTGTAAGAAGCTGTCACTTCTTGGGCAACCTCTTCCGCTTGCTGCTTCAACATCTCATCCGTGACATAAAGAAGGGCACAGTCTACCAGAGCTTCAAAGAACTCAAGGAAGACAAGCTGAAAGAGAAACCAAAGAAGAGAAGGCCAAGCAAAGCAGTCGGAGAAGTCCTGCTGGAGAAGGACTCAGGGATATTGGCAGGGAATCAAATCTGAGGACCAGAACACAAATGGACTTAAGACGATTGAGGGTCTTCTTAAAATCCAAAGTGCAAAAAGTCCACCTGAGTTACCCAAACCTCGATAACTTTCTCTACCAAGTGACTCTGGTAGAAAAAATAAAACAGACCCTGGAGACTACAGAACAATCAGCCTAACATCAAGACCTAGGAAGATACTGGAAAAGATAAGCCAAAAAACCAGATCTGCGAACATCGATTCTAGAAACAAAGCTATAACTAGAAGCCAGCACGGGTTTGTGAAAAACAGATCATGCCAAACCAACCTTACCCCGTTCTTTACAAAGTGACTAAATTAGTAGACCAGTGAAATGCTGCGGACATAATATATTTAGACTTCAGTTGGACTAGAAGACCGCTGAGGTCCTGTCCAGCTCTATTCTATTCTAAACCTTTCTCTTGAAATTGTCAATCCCAAAATCTTTCTTAAGTTCATACCTCGTGTTCCAGATTGACAGTTTCTGCATCGGAGACCGAAGGATTGTCTTTAGCCAGAATGTCCACAACCTTGGTAGCTGTCAGTTGTTTGGTTATCAGTCTTAAATCCTGAAGATAGAAACCACACAAAAATGGTGGTTAGTTATAACCCTGCTTGTGTTAAGAATCCCATTTTGATGATTGATGTATGTGCCACCAACTTGGTGTCACCTCTTAACCAACAACAAAGATTTCTGAGACAATCTATCTCCGAGCCCTTCTGTTGCACTAGCATATGACCTTTAAGCTAATTTATTTAAGATATTATTTCTTTTTCTTCATGGGATTTGGGTTTTAATACAGTGTGAAGCTGCCCGTGATTACGCAGACATAAGGACTGTAATTCTTTGCCCATCTAACTAACACTAAAATCTAAGTCATGGCTAAAAGCTGACGCCAACTTGTGGCACCTAAATCAATTCTCAAAATGCGATTCTAACTAACAGAATGACAGAGTTGGAAGGGACTCTGGAGGTCTTCTAGTCCAACCCCTTGCTCAAGCAGGAAACCCTATATACCATTTCAGACAAATGCTTGTCCAATCTCTTCTTTAAAACCTTCAGTGTTGGAGCATTCACAACTTCTGGAGGTAAGTCATCCCACTGATTAATTGTTAACAGCCGTGATATTACAAAGGAAGGCAAATATACATGTCCCGGGATAATGTTGCAGGATCCAATCTGGGTCAGTCACTGGATCCCGGTGACCGACCCAGATTAGATCCTGTGGCTTTGATATTCCGTAATGGTTTCCCACCAGATCAGGCAGTTAGTTAAAGATCTATCTGCTGCTGCGGCTTCTGAGAGTTAAGATTACTTTCAACATCCACAGGAAGTGCCTCATCGTCATTGTAGGTTCGTAAGGAGGCAGAGTGCTTGGTCTACAGAACGCCTGGAAAATCTCCCAGCACTTGTCGATGTAACTGAGCGCGTAGACGGCTTGCTGTCGGTCACTGAACAATATACCTATACAGGTGAGAAGAAGGTGAGCTGATTAGTGCAGGGATATATAATAATATAACAACAAAACAACAACAATAACAATAATAATAAACTGTAACTTCCTGCAATAACTCCAGCAATGTTACAAAAAACTACGCTACTCAAAACATCTTACATTTTAAGGAGGTACCTGGTTGACACCTAGGATGCTGGTAGCAACCCTTGTCAACCATCCGCACCAGCCAATTTGAATGTTCAGTTGACTGAGGTTCATGTCTAATGAATAAAAGATAATAATAAATAATTGGAAGGGACCTTGGGGGTCATCTAGTCCAACCCCCTGCTCAGGCAGGAAATCTTACAGCCTATATCATTTCAGATAAATGGCTGCCCAGTCTCTTCTTAAATACTTCCAGTGTTGGAGCATTCACCGCTTCTAGAGGCAGGTTGTTCCACTGGTTAATTGTTCTCACTGTCGGGAAATTTCTTCTTAGTTCTAGGTTGCTTCTCTCTTTGGTTAGTTTCCACCCGTTGCTTCTTGTTCTGCCTTCAGGCACTTTGGAGAATAGCTTGATTCCCTCTTCTTTATGGCAGCCCCTGAGATATTGGAAGACTGCTATCATGTCCCCCCTCGTCCTTCTCTTCGTTAAACTAGACATACCCAATTCCAGCAGCCGTTCCTTATATGTTTTAGCCTCCAGTCCCGATCATCTTTGTTGCTCTTCTCTGCACTCTTTCTAGAGTCTCAACGTCTTTTTTACATCGTGGTGACCAAAACTGGATGCCATATTCCAAGTGTGGCCCTACCAAGGCATTCTAAAGTGGTATTAACACTTCCCATGATCTTGATTCTATCCCTCTGTTAATGCAGCCTAGCAAGTTGGATAATGTAAGAGAGGAAACTGGAGGAGGTGAGACAACCAACCAGCTATGCAAAACGTGACCCTACCTTTGATACAGCAGGCGTTGGGACAAATATTCTTGACCATCAGCTTGGAGAAGCACTTGAACAGGCGAGGAGTTGTGTCACTACGGTTGGAGGAAACCACCATTATACATTTGCTATTGGGAAAGTCGGCAAAAACAGTTTCAAAAATTCAAGGGGAAAAAAAAATCCAGTTGGTTCTACATCTGAGATGGTATCTACTTACTCAAAATCCTTGTGGTAAATGTGGAAGGACAAGTAAATGAGGTAGGTCAAAAACATCCTAAGGAGCAAAGTCTCATATGGAGAATGAATCTCTTCCAGTAATGTTTTATCTGAAAAACACAAATACCGTCATGCATAGACACAGAGGAAGGTATCTGTCTGTCTTTTTCTATCCATCATCTATCTATGCATATTATCTTTCTACCCCATCTCCATCTACTATCTATCTATCTATCTATCTATCTATCTATCTATCTATCTATCTATCTATCGTCAACTATCATCTATTTATCCACCCTCTCTCTATCATTTGTCAACTATCATCTATTTATCCACCCTCTCTCGCTCTCTGTTTATCTATCTATCTATCTATCTATCTATCTATCTATCTATCATTTGTCATCTATCATCTATTTATCCATCCTCTCTGTCTGTCTGTCTGTCTATCTATCTTTCATCTATCATGTATCTATCCGTCCTCTCTATTATCTGTCATCTATCCAACTTCTCTCTCTCTATCATCTGTTTATCTATCCATCCATCTATCCACCCATCCATTATGGGGGAGGGGGAGAAGTAGAAGTGAATGGAGAAGGGGTAGAAAGAAAACAAAAGGAAAAAAAGGAGAGAAGAGGAACACAGGAAAAGGGAATAAGAAAAGGAGGAACAGAAGGAGATGAAAAAACATGGAAAAGAGGTAGAAGAAAAATATAGAGGAAAGAGAAAGAAAATTAGAAAAGGAAAAAAATAGAAGAAACGGATAACAAGAAGAGCAGAAATAAAAAATAAGCAAAATGAAAGTAGAGTAAAATTCAAATCTAATTTTGAACCAAATTAGGGGGGGGCACTGTTCCTGGAGGCACTGCAATACCAGGTCAATGCATGGAGTGGATGGAGCAAGCTCCTGGTCCATCTCCTGATTCCAAAAATCCATTTAATACATAGTCCTCAGATAGAGAACATATCAGATATTAAACTGATAAGAACAGATACTACACTTGATCTTAGCCAAAAGGCCGAGAAGCGATACCCAGTGATGGGAGGGAGGCCAAAGGCTTCCCTTCTTTGGAAATTCCGGGTTTGTGAGACAGCATCTGAGTTGTGTACGGGCTAAGTGCAAAAGTCAGGTCAGGCTGGTTCCTGCTCTCAGGAGTAACCTCTGAAAACGCATCGTTTCCAGGTCCCACCAAAATGAACTCCGTCCAGTTATGACAATCTGCAGAATTTATAAGACTTTCCTTGATTATGTCAAATTTGGGACTTTCTGCTTTCCCCATTGGTTTTAGATTTGCATTACTCCACCCCCGACATCCTCATGATTGGTTAAGTTTGCTTTCGAGGCGTTGCTGCTTTTTAAAGTTTTCGGAAACTCTTTAGCTTAGATTATGTATTATATTATCTTCTACTTCAAAACAACAACAGCAACACTTTTTGCAAATCATGGTCCCTCTTGCAGAGATTTGGATGTGAATTTTTTTTTAAAAGGAGGAGGGGGGGAAATCAGTGTATATTCATCTCTCCCCCCCCCCCGATTCCAGTTCATTGCTTCCTGTTTCTAGTTCTCTAAACCTTTTGTCATTTGAACCCTTTTTTTTCTTTCATTCCTTCTTGCAAAAAAAAAAAAAGCCATTTAAAATATTTGAAAAAATTTCCAAAAGGAAGAAGCATGTAAAGCGGGGGGGGGGGAAAATCCCATCAATTGAAAAAGAACAGCGTGAAAATTTCCATTTGAATGCTTGAAAGGACTGATTGAATTATCTAGTAAAATGCAAAAAGTGCGAGTAACTTACCCAGCTGCTGGGCGTGTTAAAAATAGTGGTGGGGGGGGGTGGTGGAAGACAATAAGAAAGAATAGAGGAAGGAGTTGCCGCAATCTATCAAAGGAAGCAAAATAAACCTTCCATTGAGAGAACTAGTTTGCTGTAGTGGTTGAGAAGCAGGCTAAACACTGGGAGACGGTGAGTTCCAGTCCTGCCTTAGGTAGGAAAACCAGGTGTATCTATCTTTCTTTCTCAGCCCCAGGAAGAAGACAAGGGCAAACCACTTCTGAAATCTTGCCCAAAAAACTGCAGGGATCTGTTACTGGGATCAGTTTGTTGCAGAGGTTAAGGCGCCAGGCTAGCAACCAGGCGGCGGTGAATTCTAGTCCTGTCTTAGGCACAAAGCCGACTAGGTGATCTAAGTTAGGCCAGTCACATGCTCAGGTTTGAGAAGAATCAGACAACGGCAAATCATTTCTAAAATCTTGCAAAGAAAACTGTGGGGATTTATCCAGGCAGTCACCAGGAATCAACAATGACCTTAAATCATACACACAGACACAGACACAGACACACAAATACACTTTCCATTGATCCTCCACCTCCAGGGAATCACTGGAGTTGTTAAGTTAGTAACATGATTGTTAAGTGAACCTGACTTTGCTTATCGGAATTCGCAAAAGGGGATCACGTGACCTCTGGAGATGGCAACGGTCATCAATTTGTTGCCAAGCGTCTGAATTTTGATCACGTGACCGTGTGAAAAACGGCCATCGCTCACTTTTTGTCAGCGCCATTGTAAATGCAAACAGTCACCAAATGAACTGTGCCTAAGTTCAGGACTACCTGTAAAGATGCTTAAATTTGGGGAATGTTAACACCCTTCTAAAATAATGGAACGTTCCCTTGCAATGGCTCCAGCTCAAAAACCACAAATGGCTTACCAACTAACTAGAGTTTGGGATCAACCAGGGGCTGTGGTAGAGAGAGCCATCTCAAAGTAAAAAAAAAAAGAAATGGCCTGTAAATAAGAAATAAATACACACCGTTCAGAATCCGGTCCATGGAGGCGAGCGTCTGGTTGCAATAATGAAATCTGCAGTCCTTCAAGAACCTCCAGAACTGAAGCTTGGTCATCAGGAAGGTGTTGTCTAGGGAGTGGTCATAGCCCAGGCTGCTGTAAAAGGTGTAGATTCTCCTCAGCTCAGAGATATATCTCAGCACAGCGTATTCGGTCTAGGAGAAGCAAAGCATGAGTTTCAAGAATAAGAGAGGAGGATTGAGATGGCCACTACTGATGTTTATGTCATGGTTCTGACTTGACAAACCCAACTGAGCAAGCACCTTCAAGACATTCCAATCTCTTAATGTAAAACTTTATTGAGTACACCAAGCTGGCACGTTGTGAAAGCAAAATCAGCTCAGGCCAGACCCCACCCAAACCCCTATAGTAAAAGCATAGAACTCTTCCTCCTCCTTCTGGGTCAGGTCACGTTGCCCAATCAAGCAAGAAAATATTGGAAAAGCATCTTCAAGTCTATCCAGGCGCTAGTAGAAATTTGGTCTGGCCTCTTGATCTTCGGAGCTCATATTCCAATCCCTTTCCTCTTCCTCCCCCTCCTCCCAGATTCATTGGCAAGTTGAGAAGCAATAATTTTCACACCAGCAAGACTGTGCTTCGAAACTTGACATTTTAAGCTAGTAAGGTACTGGAGATGTGGGGAGTCCTTGGTGCTTTCTGAGCTTGGTGGTTTTCTTGCAGATGTTTCACTACCAAACTAGGTAACATTATCGGTGCTAGCTAACTAGTTGAGTAATGAAACATCTGCAAGAAAACCGCCAAGCTCAGAGAGCACCAAGGACCTCACCGTTCAGCCCTGAGCTAGAAATATTCTCTTTTATTGGTACTGGAGTTGTCTGATGTTTCTGCTGGTATCCCTTTCAAGCACAAAAGAAGACAATTCTGCACAACATCAGCCTCTCGTGTTGCTCTGTGAAGCTTCTGGATTTTGTAAATCGTGGACATCACTCCCAAACAGCCCAAGAATTTGACTCTTCTTTTGTTCATGGCAACGGCATTTTCCCTCGTGGCTGAAGATCACCATCCCTCTTAGCCTTTTTCTCTTCTCTTAGTGTCTGCTTTATTTATCTCTTCTAGGCCACAGAGTTGTGTAGACCAGCTTCCCATACCTGTTTCATTTCATCCTCCCTGTCTTTTTCCGGAAATATAGCCAACAAGGTTGATAGATCTATTTCAATGTTTGGTCCTGACGAACAGGAACTCCTTGAATGATCAACAACTTTGACACTATCTAGGCAGTAAAAAAAGAGAAAATGTCAAAGGCATCTGGTCTCTACTGCAAACTTCTTTAAAAGTAAGACCCTATTCGTGAAAACTCAGGGCATCCACACAAACACAAATAAATCCCTCTTTTTTTAAAAAAAAAAAATCAGACTTGTGTTCTTTCAAATGCATTCTTTTCTTCAGTATGTTGAAACTTACTCTTTATATTTTATGAGCTGAGGGGGGGTTTCAAGAGAGTGGAGGAAAACTTGTCAAAACAAAACTCAGATAAATATTGCATCCATTAAAATTGGTCGATCTCAGACATACTAAGCAGGGTATGACCTGATTAATATTGGGATGGGAGGCCTATGGCCCTGAAGTCCACCAGAGGTCTTCAGGGTTAAGGGAGCATCTTAGACAAAGTTCATCCAGTCTAATCTTTTCTTCCCTCTTCTTCGAAGCAGCTCACCTATGCCAGAAAAACCCTTCAAAGGAAGGTTGCTCAGCTCTTCCATATTGGTCATGTCAACTTGCAAGGACGGACACTCCGCTATGTGATCGTAGTTAAATTCGCCTTCGTACACCCTGCCGTTCTTGAAAACTAGCTTGCCCTGAGGGAAAAATAATTGCTCGTAGCTGTTCTGCTTTTAAAACCGATCTTTTCAGCTGCTCTGGACGTTCTCACTCTTTCCCAGGATCTCTCCAGGCTTACCTTGCCATGCTTTTTGTTCAGCACCCATTCTCCATCGTACATGGCGCCACTGGCAAAGAAGAATTTTCCGTGTCCGTGCCGGTCGCCGTTGACGAAGTCTCCAACGTACTCATTCCTCAGGGGATACTGTGACCCAGCTATCCTCTTCAGATACCAGGTATGGGTGCCCTGCCCATGCTAGGGAAATAAACCAACCGAACGTTCTCTAGAGCAGTGTTTCTCAATCTTAATGGCTTGAAGGTGTGTGGGCTTCAACTCCCAGAATTCATGCTGGCTGGGGAATCCTGGGAGATGAAGTCCACACATCTTAAAGGTGCTGAGGTTGAGAAATACTGCTTGTCCTATGGGCCAGGGGTCTCCAATTTTGGCAACTTTAAGACACTTGGACTTTGACTCCCAGAATTCCTCAGCCAGCATGAATTCTGGGAGTTGAAGTCTACAAGTTGTAAAGTTGCCAAGGTCGGAGACTCCTTATCCGTAGGTTCTACAGAGGGAGACATATGGACTTTTAATACATCTAACTAGGCCATTGTTTAGACATCCAAATGAATTCTGTATCCAAACTTTGAGAAACAAGGTCTAGAGAGACCCTCAGGTCCGTACAAGACTAAGCCATCTATGGTGATGATATTATCCATTCAGTCGTGTCCTACTCTTGCCGATTTTATGGGCCCAGTTTCTCCACATATTCCAATCTTGCACTACTTTTTTGAGTTGTTCTGTGCTCTGGCTGGTGTCAGTTTGATGGTCTTCAGCCACCATGTTCTTTGACGGCCTGGTTTCCTTTGACTGCTAACTCTTCCCAACATAATTGCTTTCTCCAGTGCATTCCCCCACCTGACGTGGCCATAACTCTGTATAGTTGGAGGAATTGGGAAAAGAAGAACTGTTCTATTTGGCCTCACCTGCACGCCATTAACCCAGTTCCCAGTGTATTCCTGGTTAGATGTTAGCCACCTCATTCGTCCTTCTCCATGGCGCAGGTCTCTCTCCCACTGCCCTTCGTAGATATTTCCAGATTTGTAACTGTTTGAAGAGTCAGAGAAGAACATCAACACCAGTAAACAGAGGAGGATTATTTTAAGACAGATCAGGCCTTCCCAACCAGGAACCTTCCAGATGGTGGTTCAGTAGGAGCAATTTTCTTCAGGAACACCATTGAATTTGAAGCCTTGTCATCCCTTCCCTTCCCAGCATGGCTGGCTCAGGAATTCTGGGAGTTGAAGTCCACGAGTCATAAAAGAGCCAAGGTTGCCTACCCCTGGTACAGAGTTTCTTGCTTGAAGACTAGACTAGAAGATCTCCGAGGTCCATTCCAGCTCTGTTATTCTGGTATTGTTATTCTGTTATTCCGTTATTCTGTTATGTAGCCCCTCCAAAAGTGTCCATCACTTTTTAACTTCCCCACAGAGAAGGAATTATTGTCTTACCATCTTATTCCCCATCCACTTTTTACATTGTTCACAAAGTCTCCTTCGTACCAAGAAGAACCTGGTTCATTGTAGTAAATGGTACCCTGAAAATCAACGGCACAAACACTTTTAAGAGTTTAAGAAAAAACTCTTAACCATCTTCCATCAGGTTTTACACAAGCAGAAGACATGTTACGTTACTAAAAACATTTCGGATTATCCATCGGTCTGCCAATAAGCCAACTCCGAGATTTACCTCTTTGTGGCTGTTCGAAGGAAAGGTCAGGAAGAGGATTTTAAGTTGATGCTGGATGTGACAGCCATGATTTCTACAAAGGAGAGCTTTCTGCCCAGAATCCAGTCGTGGCAACTACAGATAACTTCACACTTATAACCACAACTGAGCTCAAAATTTCTGTTGCTAGGCGAGACACTTGTTAAAGTGAGCGTTGCCCCATTTTACAACCTTTCTTGCACAGTTGTTAAGTGAATCATTGCAGTTGTTAAGTTAGTGACACAGTCGTTAAGTAAATCTGGCTTTCCTCATTGACTTTGTTTGTCAGAAGGTCGCAAAAGGGGATCACATAACTCCTAGGACACGGCGACTGCCATAAATACAAGCCAGTTGCCAAGGGTCTTGGGTTTTGATCACGTGACCATGGGGAGGCTGCAACAGTCATAAGGGTGAAAAACGGTCATAAGTCACTTTTTTCAGCGCTTTTGTAATGGTCACTAAATGAACTATTGTAAATTGAGGACTCCCTGCGTGCTTCCAGTGCCTACGTTTTCACTACCTTTCCATGTCTCTTGCCTTCCACCCAGTGGCCGATGTACGAAACGGGATAGGTGCCACATTTGTACATGCCAAAGCCGTGTCTGATCCCGTTCTTCACTTCGCCTTCGTACAGGCTGCCGTCCGGCCACTTGTAAGTGCCACGATCCATTTGCACGTTCTTGACGAAGTTTCCCTGCAAGAGAGGAAGATCTAGGACAGTGGTGGTGAACCTATGACACGGGTGCCAGAGGTGGCACTCAGAGCCCTCTCTGTGGGCACTCACGCCGTTGCCCCAGTCCTAGGTCTTCAGTTGGGTTTTATAAAACCTTTTCGCTTTAGGCCTCCGCCACCGTGGGCAAAAAAAAAAAAAAAAGGTTCAATCAGTCAATTTCAACTTCTCGCCGGAAAAAAAAAAGATCTTGCAAAGTTGGAATTGATTGAACTTTTTAGTCCCACCCAGTCTGCCGTTACCACTGCAGCCACACCCAGCCAATGGGCCACACCCACCCAGCACTCGACGATGCATAAGTGGGTTTTGGGTTGCAGTTTGGGCACTCGGTCTCTAAAAGGTTTGCCATCACTGATCTAGGAGAAAGAAAATAAGGCTCACTCTCTTCCTTTCCCCTGGAAAGGTAGCAAAATTCGACAATGTTGAGCAGGAGTCTCCAAACGTGGCAACTTTTAAGACTTTTCAACTCCCAGAATTCTCCAGCCAGCCAGTCATTTCATACAAAGGGTTGTCCAATCTCTTCTTTAAAAAAACTCCAGTCATGGAGCACCCACAATTTCTGGAAGCAAGTCATTCCATGGATTAATTGTTCTAACTTTGAGAGGTTCTTGGTGCTCTCTGAGCTTGTTTTCTTCCAGACGTTTCATTACCCTAACTAAATAACAACATCAGTGCTAGTAAAGAGTCCTTACTAGCACTGAGGATGTTACCTAGTTAGGGTAATGAAACATCTGCAAGAAAACAAGCAAGCTCAGAGAGCACCAGGGACCCCTTATTTCAACCCTGAGCTTCAAATATTCTCCTTCATTGTTCTAATGTTCTCTTTAGTTCTAGGCTGCTTCTCTCGATTAATTTCCATCCGTTGCTTCTTGTCCTGCCTTCAGCTGCTTTGGAGAACCTCAATCCTAAATCTGGCGTACGTGCTTGCAAGTGTCCATCTTTCCTTTGTTCTGATTTGCAAGCAGTTGCAAATGTGGCTGACAGTGGAGCTACTTACCTCGTACTGCACTCCATCGGTCCATGTGTAAGTCCCTCGCCCGTGCATGAGTCCTTCCGAAAACATTCCCTACAAAATGGCAAAAAGCCAATGAGTGGGTGCCACGATTCCTCAAATCACAGAAGAGTAAGGAGAGTCAGATCTCCACATCTCTGTCAAAAGAGTAAGTCGGCCCTGGTTTTCTCACCAGGGTTTAGTTCAGGCCCCCCTTTCAGCCCACGCACAGGAAATAAAAGAAGCTAGTCTTTTAATCCACCCTACTCCTCATAGTAATAATGAAACGGCCTATCACACCAAAGGAAATTTTATATCCTTCAGATTTAACACAGATGTTGTCACCTTGTAGATGTTGCCTCCTTGAAAATAGGCCGTTCCTTCCCCTTCATATAATCCACGGATCTTTTCTCCCTCGTAACTATGGAGGACATAAATTCAAGATGAAAACTCGCCTGGATTAATACATCATACTGTGAATGCAGCCATTTGGGGCATGGTCAAGTCAACTTGTCCTGGCCACGCCCACCCCCTCAGACTTATTTTTGGGGTAGGGCTTATATTAGGCCCACCCCAACAAAAATCAGGCTAGGGCTTATTTTCGGGGAAACACAGTAGACCAAACTGGCTCTTATGCTTCGTGAATGCAGCCGTTGTGATGCGTTCTCCCTGCATTATGCTGTAGCAGAGTGAGCTAAACAAGCCACGATGGGTTATTTGGCAAAAGACTTGTTTGTTTGTCGGTTGGTTGAATTACTAAATTTGTATGCCGCCCATCTCCCTCTCTGTCCAAAACTGGAAGAAGAAGCAGAGCTTTCTGCCACCTGACCTTTTCCCCAGATATCTGAGGATCCCCACACCAGAATTTCAACCAGCTGGTGAGGCCTTTTGGACACTGAGGATCCAACACATCTGGAGGGCACAAACCATCGAAAATCAGCAGCAGGGACTCAGCCAGGCTCCAAAATTGGTCAGAAAACTCCTTGGATGCCAATCACCTGTGACTATACCCTACTTTTAGCAAGACTCTGGTTTTACCTTTCAACACTCAGTTGTGTGAGGATGGGTTCTTCATACTCAATGGGTTCAGAGAGAAGAGGAAACTCTGCGTCTTTGTTTTCTTCTTTGGAGGCTATCCGAGTAGCCGAGTGCTCGTCCCCTTGGTCTGCCAGAGGTGGGACATTCTGGTTGGAGATTGCTAACTTGATGGAGGTGTCGTGAGCTGGAGCAGGTGCAGCCTTCTCTCCCTTTTTGCTGTCTTTCTTCTTATCTTTACCCATCGCTCCGTGGTAGGGCAGAAGGAGGCGTCCTTGCAAAGAATGGAGCTCCTATTTTGAACTTCAAGGTGGGAAAAGAAATATTTTGTTAGGAGAGAGAGAAATGATTGAATGAGGTATATATAAGTGGTCCTTGACATATAACCACAATGAGACCAGGATTTCAGTCGCTAAGCAAGGCGGTTATTAAGTGGGTCATGCCCAATTTTATGACCTTTTTGCCATGGTTCTTAAGTAAATCACTACAGTAGTTAAATGACTCACAGGGTCAATAACATTTAAACTTAGCAAGTGTATTACCTATTTTCTTCATTGAGCAATTCGGATGATCCTGAACGTAATAAAAACGTATTTTGACCATAAATCTAGTGGAATAAATAAAAGCTGATCCATAATAAAAAAAATTGTAATTTTTATAGGCGTTCGAAGAATTTACTGCTTTGTAACATAGCTAAACGTACAGTAAAAAGGCCTAATAGGAGATATTAAATGTATTTTATGTTGCTTTGTTACAAAGAGCAGTCTATTTCAGAAAACTGTCCTATAGATTTATTTATTTTTTTCAGAAATTTGCTTTTATTTCGGCCACTTCCCTTTTACTTTTACAAATAGGCTGGCTGAATGCACAGCCTTGCTGCAGAAATCCTTTTCAATACTTGTTCTTCAAACTTCAGTTTAAAGTTTACAACTTTACATAAAAAAAGCTTTCCACCGTACTTTTAGATATTAATGTTAAACTGTGCATTTTTGTGATATTTTTCTTAGTTTTCTTAGCTCTTGAATTTTCCTTTGTAAAGCCAAGTTATGTACATAAACAATTAACATTCTTCACCCTGATGGACCTCTTTCAGATTTGCCCCTTTTTCAAGTGGATCCTTTATCATTCCCCCCACCCCCAAGAAAATATGGTCACAGCAGACGTTTTGTTTTTGTTTTTTTTAAAAATGGACCTCTTTGTAAAAACTGGGAGTTTATCTCATTGTTATTGTTTTTAATAGCCTTTGGATTTTAAGGCCTTTGGAAAAAATGTTTCTATTCTGGAAAGCAACATTTGAAAATCCCAAATGTAAGCACAAAAAGACCACTCAAAACTGTAACCCTTTAAGCAACTTTTAAGGCCTTTAAAGAACAAAACAGAGAGAGCCAGAACTGACCCAGATTTGTGCAGATCGGACTCAGTAATTAAAATAATAACAATTAGCCCCAAATCATTGCAACTGACAACAGGCTCGGACCTTGCTAGCAATCACAGGAATAGGATGGGGATTTGGGGAATTGTAGTCCTTGAGGTGCTGGGCAGCAAATGCAAACTTGAAAGCTATGAAGAAAAACCAAGGGGGAAAAAAAATTAAAATCCACCTCTTTGGAAATCCCTATTTTGCAACCCTTCGCAAAAGCTGCCTGAAGTGTCTCTGCGATGCCAGTTGCTAAGAGGCTTGAGCTGTTGCCGTAGCAACCGTGAGTAGGCTGGGCGGTGGCCATAGCAACCTCGGGGCGGGGAGAGAGAGAGAGAGAAGCTTACTGGTTGTTCAGAGAGAAGTGGGCGGGGCTTTAGCCATCTCTTCCGCGTTTACTTTTCTGCCTGGCCCAATTGCACAACTGCAGAATAGTACACAACGCCCCACCTTTTAGAAATTTATGTTTGTGTATGCATCACATTGGGAACACAGAACATAAAAGGACAGGGTGGGAAGGGTCCAACTCTCTGCTTGAGCAGGTCTTCCAGATAAATGGTTGTCCAATTTCTTCTTCATGGCTATACAAATTGCAGGTATTTAGAAATATCAACTACGATCACAACTTCATTATTTAATTAGAATATTAACTTTTTATTCTTTACAGGTCATCTGAGACCGTTCAGGTCTGCCCACTCTTGGTTGAGATTAATTGGATGCTTTTAAAGTTATTATTTAAAAAGATGTTAAGAGGCATAAAGTTTTTTTTTAATATTAGATTCTAGTTAATGTTATAAAGAAGTTGATACAAAGGTGTCAGGTATATTCCAAATCAGCCGGGCTCCGACTTTAGAAATGGCCCAACTCTTCTCTTAGTTATTAAAGCTAAACAGATGCCATTTTAGAAGGGAAATTATTGCTTTTCTGATACCCAGGAACAAGAGAGTCAAGTTAGGTTCAGTAGATTAGAAAGGAATTTAAAGGCAAATGTTATGCTCAAAGCAATGAAGATTAAAAATGCCAATTGGAACATGAATTAGGCTGCCGTCACTATTAAATGGAGGGCGGATTTCAGAAAAGCTGTTTTGTAGAAACAATCTGGGAACATCAAACCACAGGCCCACAGATTATTCTATTTGTTTTTCAAGCTTGACAATTTTAAAATACACGGATTTCAATTCCCAGAATTCCAAATCTCTTAAAGCGACTGAAGTTGAAAAATACTGCTTTCATTGTAACTTCTATAGAGGGACACATGGAGCTTTTAACACCTATAACAAGGCCATTCTTAAGACATCCAAATGAATTCTACATCTAGTGTGATCTGGTAAAATAAATCTACAAATTGTTGCAAAGATTACGTTAACAGCCTGCAGAACGTGTGCTTTGATTTTGGTAAATCAATTGTTGGCTGTACTGTATACAGTAGTCCTGAAAATATGAGAGTGTATCATTTTATTGTATTTTTCCCCTTCTTTTCTCTATCTCAGTTTATTACAGTTGATCTGACTGGCTTGTATGATGGGACTGGGACTGTAATAAAGTAACCGATTGATTTAAAATTTATCATTCATTCACAATTAGACAAATCAGATACTATTGCACCAGTAGAGAATTGCTTAAGCCTTTCATTTTCTAGTTACTAAAATGCTGTGATACTGTAAAACTCACCACTGGCATTAACCATCTCTTATTATACCACAGGAACTGGCCATCCCATTTTATACTATAGATGTGAACCACTGTTAAACCACAAAGAAATATCATGTATAAAAATCTTTATTTACAAAACGGATCTGGTCTAAAACAGGACATCATCCAAAGAGCCTATTATGTACATTTAATTCTTACTGTCAATAAAAGGGACAGAAAGCCAATATTTATACAAAGGTAGCAATAAAACCAGCCCTGTTTTCTGGCTGCTCTTTCAACAAAAATGTGAAAAAGTCTTCTTTCAGAGGGCAGAGGATGGAAAGTTATTGTGTCTATATGAACCAAACCTGTTTGAGAGTGAAAGAGGGAGAGAGAAAAAAAAAAAACCACATTCTTCTTTTGCAACACAAAACCATGATTTCAGCTTCTGGTCCAGCACAATCGAGAGCTCCGATGCAAACTAGATCATGGTTTGCATTCCACAATAAAATAAGTGCTAGTAGCCTGTCAGTCTTGTGTGATGAGGTCCAGGTTGGCTAAATGTCGTATGGTGGGCCTGCCGTGCGGACAGTTCCAAGGATGCTCAATTTCACCCATGTGAGTAATTAGTTTCTTCATTTCACTGGCCGTGAGGGCGGTGCCAATCATCACCTGTAACAGGAGCAAAGTCGAAAGTTCAACATTCATTCCTTTTAGCTTAGCTGCTCCCTTGTTCCTTGAAGTAACCCCACTCAGGATCCTTTTCACAGAGGACTTCTAGAGCAGGGCTCCCCAACCTCTGGGCCAGGGCCCACTAGTGGGCTGTGAAGTGTTTGCCACCAGGCCGTGGAAATGGGCGAGCGAGCACTCATACATCCCCACCTGCAGGAGGAACGGGCGAGTGCGTGCACGCCTGCTCCATTTGCGTGAGCGGTGGGCCCACCTGCATGCCACTTGTGTAAATGGAGCTGCGTGCGCATGTGAGTGCTTGCCAGCCGCTTGCGTGGAACCATCCCTCCCCATCCCCCTCACACCGGTCTTGAAAGCTGGAAAGGTTGGGGAACTCTGATCTAGAGGACGTGCACAATGAAGAGGGATATAGATAGTCGAGTTCGTTTAGTGACATTCAGCACGGAAAAAATGACCGTTCAGAGTTACAACGGCATTGAAAAAAAAATGACATAGGACCGTTTTTCACACTTACAGTCCTTGCAGCATCCCCAAGGTCGCGTGATCAAAATTCAGGCACTTGACAACTGATTCATATTTATGACAGTTGCAGTGTTCTGGGATCATGTGATCCCTTTTGCGACCTTTTGGCAAGCAAAGGCAGATTCCTATCCCTCCCTCCCTCCCTGCATCCAAGCTCAAGTCTGCAGTAATTGCTATACTTACAGATTTTCGACAGGCTCTAGAAGCAAACATTTGCCTCACTCTGGATGGCCTACACATGATTCCCGGAGAATCGCTTAACATAAAGATTAATTCTTCTATGTCTTGAGGACCGAAAGTCCAGTTTTTGCTGGTTGGTAAAGATATGAGCTTTGCTCTCTGAGTTACAGGAGCTGAAAGGTTTTCAAAATACCATCACTGTCACAGTCTCTTTACACTGAGATAATACTTCAACGTATTATCCACCCAACCCAGCCCAACTGCTCATGTAATAATTGTCACTTGGGAGCTAAATCTTGAAGGTTAAGTTTTAAATTGAGTGCATTTTTTTTTCCCGCAGGAAAAGAATATCCAGTTGGACCGCAATTTCAAAGCGGTTAAAAGATCAGTCATTCAGACGGATTTAAAACGGAATTATTTGGCGTGCTAGTTTTTCCCATTTTAATTATTGGAAAGACGTTTCGGATTTCCAAAGCGGAGACGATCACTTTCTCCCCACTTCCTTTTACAAAAGCTAGGAGAGATGGTAGGTAGGGTAGAACTCACCATTTTCATCCACCACAAAATCAAATCCATTTTTTTGGAAAATCTCCAGATTATCCATCAAGATACTTTCACTCACAGCCGTTAAATTAAGATTTTGAGGCCTGAAAAAGCGGGGCACCGAAAAAGAAAACATTAAACAGCATTAAATCTGAAAGCAGCCCTTGTGAAATTGTGTGTATTTATTGTGTGTGTTGTGTATATATATATGTATAAGACAGATAGTGTGTGTATAGGCAGAATGTGTCGATAGATATATGGATGGATGGACAGACAGACTGACAGAGAGTAGGTAGGTAGTGTATGTGTATGTGTAGATAGATAGGCAGTGTGTGTGTGGATGGATGGATGGATGTAGATAGATTTTCTGTGTTTGTGTGTGTATGTTCTGTGTGTTTGCTTTTCAGGAAACCCACAGAAAAAGTGTTGAGAAGAAACTTACTTGATCAGCTTCTGCCCCTGCAGGACGGTGTCCTCTTGCAACATCTCAAAGTTGTATTTTTCATCGGTAGCGTGCTGATCAATGATAAAGAGGTCTGATTTCAGCTTGGCGATGATAAATCCCAGATTAAACTGGCCAACTATATCCATTTTAGCAAACATCTCTTTGCTGTATGCATAGGGAGAATCACAAGAGATACGTAGAACTGTCAGACCTGCCTGCTCTTTACAGCTTGGTTTTTCAATTCTCGAATCCAGAACTCTTAATATCCTCATGGAAGTAACCCGTCATCAATACTTTGCTACACAATTATGGCTAATTTAGCCCTCAAATCGAAGGCCAGATTGTGCTTTCTTGCATTTACACACACACACACACACAACAGCAAGAAGAAGCTACTTCAATGGGGGAAGCTGGATCTGCTTAAGGACCGAAGTGATTCGCTTAACAACAATGGCACAAAAAGTAATTGAGGAGAAAAGCAACCTAGAACTAAGGAGAAATGTCCTAATAGTGAGAACAATTAACCAGTGGAACAGCCTGCCACCAGAAGTTGTGGGTGCTTCATGAAGGAGCATTGGAGGTTTTCAAGAAAAGACTAGACAACCATTTGGGACTGGACAGCCATCTTCTGTCTGA